ATGTCCTCCCATAGCACTTATCACAATTACTACATGTTGGAATAAATATTCTTTTTCCTTTCTTTTTTGTGGGACTGGGAATTGAACTCAGGGCTTCACCCTTGTAAAGCAGATACTGGCAAAGCAGGCTTGAGCCACACCTGCAATCCAGAATAAATACTCTTATTATGCAACACACGCTAAGTTTTTATTTACTTTTCTATCTTCTACTAAATTGCCAATTCCTTGAGAACAAGTGAGATAGCTTATTTCACCTTCATTCCCCATTAACACATGGTAGAGGTGGTTAAATGAACAATTTATGAAAGAATGGCAAGGCAAAAAAAATAGAGGGAAAGGAGAGGAAGAGAATGTGTATGCATACAAAACATTTTTTAAAAGGCAACTGTAATAAATTCAGTATTTTTACAAGGTCTAAGCAAATGATTATTGAAGAGACAACAGAACATATGAAAAAGCCAACCTACCCAGACTGTATGTACAACCATCTCAATCACACATCTCCTAAACACTCTAATATATCACTCAAATATTTCTGCACTGAGATGCTAAATAACATGTAGAACATAAAAAGCAAAAGGTTTTAGTTAGAAAACATGAATCTTAGATTTATAAACTTTAATATTCTGCCATTTCCCAATAATTGGATCACTGATGCTGAAAAGTATAGCAAAAATCCAGCAGAACACCAACACCATGTGCTACAATAAAGTACAAATTGCTTTTGTGTGACGATAGTCACACTTCTCAAAAACACTGCAAAAATATCACAAGATAGAGAAGATTAGTCAGTATGGGTCCTTATTTAAATAAATTTTTGTGTACTAAAGGAAAACTGGTGCTAAACATGTAACAAAATGACATACATTTCTCTTTATTTGGGGATTTTAAGGCAACAACCAAAAAGTATTGTAAGATACTCTAACTTTCAATTACCTCAATACACTGCCACTTAATACTACTTTTAAAGTGCTTCTGTCATCAACAGAATAAACAATTTAAACTTAAAAGCTTGCTTCAAAGTAGAAAATTGATAAGATAAAATAAATGGCATAAATCCTCTATAAATCAATTCTAATTGTAATATGGAAGTTGAACACACCAAAATAAAAAAAGAAGAAAGAAAGAAAAGTTAAGCCCAATATAACCAACACTAAATGCTTTTTTGTTTGTTTCAAGAAGGCTGGCCTCAAATTTGTGACTCTCCAGTCTCAGCCTCCTGAGTGCTGGGATTTACTGGCAGGTGCCACCACACCCAGCTGAACACTAAATACGCTTTGAATTGCAATTTTCTTTTGTTTTGGGAGGTATGGCTTTGCCTTGGCAAGGGCAGGCACTCTACTGCTTGAGCCACACCTCAAGCCCTTTTTGCTCTTGTTCTGTGGGTCTTGCTTTTTGCCCAGGTCAACCAGGACTATGAGCCTATTTTATGCTTCTCAGCTCAGCTGGGATGACAGGTGCATGTCACCACACCCAGTTTTTTTTTCCTGTTGAAATGGGGTCCCAGCAAACGTATCTGCCCCAGGGTAGGTTGGTCTGGAGCCATGATCTTCCCCATCTCAGCCCCCGCATAGTAGCTTGGGAGGATGTGTACGTACCAGTGCTCCCAGCTACTGGTTGAGATGGAGTCTCGAGAACTTTTTGCCTCAGGATGGCCTCCAACAGCTATCCTCAGGATCCCAAGTACCTAGGATTATAGGCATGAACCACTCATGCCCAGCTTGAATTGCAATTTTGGATGAAGCAAAATAAAAACCATGAGCAAATTCTTAGCTTTACCACATAAGAAATAAAGTTGTAACAAATAAGCTAGGCTTTGTTTTTAGTTTTAGGGGAGCAGTACTCAGGCCTCTGCTCACTTGCTAGGCAAGGGGCTCTACCACTTGAACCAGGCCTCCAGCCCTACTAGGTTTTAAAGCTAATGATTACTAGATTCCCTAAGACTTACAACAGAAAGTTCGTAATAAAGTTGGCAATTTGTTTCAACAACTTTTCCCTTTTACCATTACTACCAGTATCTTTTTTTAAAAAGGCAGTTAAGAATGGAAATAATGAGCACTTAAAATCACAAGTTTTCAAATGATACCAAAAAAATTTGCATTTGCCTAATACCATGAAATTTTCAAGGCTAAAGTTTCCAACATACTTTCATTTCTTTTAAAGACAAGTTCTTTTAAAAAGAAATAAAAGGAAAACAAATTTAAATCTAAAACACCTTCAACTCATACAGAATGTTTCAGACAAACATTTCCAGAGAACCCAGTATGTGTCAGGCACTACAGTGAGAACTGTAACAGAGCACAACACGCATCCCAAGTATGTTCCCAGCTTCTGAACTTGTTATGAACCATTCAACCCAAAACTGTTCTAGAGAACTTCTCCTCGAACACCAAGTTAGACAGATGGTTTTCCTGGTAAGTTCACTTCTCACTGCTTCACACACACAGGTCACAGGAGTCCTTCCTATCATTTGTGACTGACAAAAGGGATTTATTTCTGAAACACTACTGGGTATGTTTTCACGTATGTGAAAGTGCAACAGGAACTCGCAGACATAAACTGTTCCAAGCAGTTGATGGTACCTCAAACTCAACAAAAAAAACTTTTAAAAGTTGGATTAAATTACTTCGTATAGTAGAGAAATGTTTTAAGTAGCCACAGCTTTCACTTTCTCCCATCAACACAAACATTACAATTTTTCTTTGAATACAGCAAAGTCTTGACTGTGAAGTGAAACGTATTTTTTTAAGAAATAGTTTAAAGAACCTGTCAAAAGTAGGTGGCATTTACATTCTAGCATGCTATCTGTTGCACTTGTGAGCACACTCTACCCTTCTCAAGCACTTCTTGAATCTGTAATGGATGAAAAATACCTACTAGTGTCTAACTTCCACCAGAAAAATCTAGACATTTCAAATGTCTAAGGCGTTTCATCTTAAAAAAAAGACAGCATTTACATATTCCCTAAAGTGAAAAAGCAACCTATACTTTCATTGCTATAATTTCTCCCACCAACAAACAAACTTCACTGAAGACACTTGTTCTTAGACACTGTCTTCCCTCAGTGAACATGTTTACTTAAGAGGAACCTGGCCTTCAGTTTTCCACCCAACACAATGCAGCAGAGCAAATGACAACTGGCAGATCCAATCGATCAATAAAGAAAAAATAAACCGTAAGTCCCTGGAAATACAAGGCGCCCGTGCTGCCTCCAAATTATGTAAAGACCACCAAAATCCTCTTTTAAAATCTTGCAAATCAGATGATTTTTGTGGCTAATCAAGCGAGTTTTCTCCTAAAAACTCCCCGTGAGATTTCCTTTCATGGGTGTAACCGAGAGAGCCGTAGCACAGTGCGGCTCCGAGTCAGGTTTCTTGACCCGCTTTTTGTTTTCGTTCTGAAGCACTTGAGTTCGTGCAGCTCTTCCTGCAGCTCTGGGTGGGAGGCCATCGGGGTGCGCGGCCTCCCTGCCCGCCCCGACCCCGTCTGCAGGGAAGGCTGGGCACTCCGCCGCGCGCCCCTTCCTCTGCAAAACTCGCAGGCCACCCTCCACCTCGGCCGGGCCCGGACTTCCTCAGTTCCGCCGGGGCCGAGGCTGGGGGCCGCAAGCAGCCTTACCTTCATGGTGACTCTGGGGCCGCGATCCCCTCGGCCACAGCGGCTTCACCCGCACCTGGAGGGGAACAAAAGGCCCCGGGTCAGCACCGTCGGGCACGGGGGAGGCACCCGCCGGGAAGGCGTCGTGCGGGGCGGCAGCCCGAGCCATCCCCGCGCACCCACCACCCACACGGCCCCATTGTCGCGACCCGACGGGCTCCCCAGTCTCCGGCGATGACGCCATTTCTGTCAGCAGAGGAAACTCACGAGCGGCCCGGGGTCCGGCTCGGCCTTTCGCCGGGCGCCGCCGTCCGCCCCCACGGGCCGCGCACCCCGCGGACGGGCGGGCCTGAGACAGCAGGCGACGCGGGAGCGGGGCCCGGGACCCAGGCCGGGCACCCCGGGGGCCCCCGCCCGCCGGGGCCCCGCCGAGGCCGCGACGCCGACTGTGCGGCCGCGAACAGGGCGGCTCGGGCTCGGCGCCGCGGGGGGCGGGGGTCCCGGGAGGCCGAGGCCCTGGATCTGGGCGCCGCAGCAGCCCCGCGGCCATCTGCCCCGCTCCGCGGCCCGGCCCGGGAGCGCCCCCGACGAGACCGCGAGCGCCCCGGAAAATGCCCCTACCTTCCGCGGAGACGAGGTCCGAGCGCCGCACGTCCAGAGTCCCCGCTCCTCCTCCCCCCCAAAACCAGCAGGCCCGGGGGAGAGATGGGGAAGGAGGCGGCGGGTCCAGCGGCCGCCGAGGCTGAGGCTCCGGCTCCTCCTCCTCCCGCGGCGGCGACTGGTACCTTTGTTTGGCGGCCGCTTCGGCTCCCTCGCGGGGGGAGGGGGACGACGAAAAATCCCTCCCGGACGGAGGTCCGGGCGCCAGTCGCCCTGCCCTCCCGAGGACGGCAGCGACGGACCCTCTGCGGCTCCCTCCGGGCAAAGGTCCAGGCGGTGGCCGTGGCGGCAGCAAGCTTGGGCTCGAGACTCTCCCTCCGCTCCGGCGCCTGAGCTCCTCACTCCGGACTCGACTGACGGGCAAACATCGCTTCCCCCCACCCCTGTAACCCCCCGCCTTGCCTACTTCTCCCCTCCCCTAGGTTCTTTTCCCCTCCCCTTACCTCTTTCCCGGATGGCCTCTTAGCCGACCTTGGATTGGCTAAGATTTACAAGAGCCCGCCTATCCCCCCTTTCTATTGGTCCAGAAGATACAAACAACGACGCCATTTTCCCACCAGTTCTATGGAAACAGAAAGTTACGCCTCAAAGCTTTCTGGGAAGTGTAGTCCAGCTACCTGGGCCAATACGCAAATTCCCGCCCGCGAAAACTGCAAAAACCACAATGCCCCGCGAGTGCGTGAGCCAGGAGCGGGGAGGGCGAGAGGGCGGGGCCCCAGGCAGCGGGGAGGCGGCAACGACGCCTGCGCAGTGTGAGCGGGATGGCGTATTTTCTGGTACCAAGTAATGCGGCGTCGCTGGTGGCTGAGGAGGGCGGAGAGTTCTGTGGTGAAGTTGGGGGAGGGATTTATGTAGTCGTCGGGAGGAGCGGTGGTATGAACTATAAAGTGGGAAGTTGATGCTGGGTTCTGCTACTCCGGGACCGGCGGCGTGAAGTTGTGAGATCATCGTGGAACCGTGAGCAGCAGCGGTAGCGGCGGGGGGGACCCGGATGGGAAAGGGGCGGAGGCCGGCCGAGGGAGGGGGAAGAAAAAGGAGGGAGAGGACCCGGATGCTGACCCCGCTCCGGGTGACTGCCAGCCTCGCGCGGGGACGCCAGGGAGGAAGAGGGGCCGGGCAGGCTCAAGGGGGCACCTGTGCGCGCAGTGGGCGTTCGAAGCTCTCCGCTGAGCGCGGTGGGAAACCCGCCTCCGAGTTGCTTAAACCCTGCGTGCGTCAGGCCGCTTCCCTTAGAGCCATCATCTCCCGGAGTTTGAGTGGAAGGGTTCGCTGTGCGCTTCCCAGCCGCACCTCTCGATGGTCTGTTCAGCAATTCTGAAACCAGCGCCTTCCCTTAAAAAAAAAAAAAACCTGCGTGGAATTTTCACCTTGCGGGTGCGAGTCACTGCCTTGACCACATCCTTAAGACGGTAGGAGGCCCTTCCATGTGGAAAAAGTGGCATGTCCCCAACTTCGTGGACCGAACGAAGCCTGCTGAGACAGACAGCACAGATGTTTGAAAAAAAAAAAAAGATATGCAAGTGAGTGGAACGGGTGATGGCAGGATGGAAGCAGAGGTTCTTAGGGAAGGGCGAGGATGGAGCTGCAGGGCAGAGTAGCAGGTTGGGGACCCTGTGTCGGGAGGAGGCGTCTGCGGAGAACTGAGGCTGCGGAGGAGGGACGGCCTAACGCGTTGGGCGCTGTTAGGGACTTTAAGGACTTCTGTTCCGTGCAGTGAGCGATGGGTGATCCTGGAAGGATTCTCAACTGGAGGGAAGAGAGTACCAGGTTTGAATCGCGCAGAGATCGCTGCCCAGAAGTTAGGGAGTAGGAAAGGGGTGAGGATGCAGGAGGCTCGCAGGAGGCTCCCAGGAGGCTGCGCAGCCCATGCTGGGAAGAACCCGTTGTTGGTGCTCAGGCTTGAAAGTGGAAGAATAGTTTGAGTCTCGGTGAGGCATCGCGTCATTATTCACTCAAAATAAATTAGTAGACGTCATGTAATACATTTTTATTGCCTCTTTACATGTGTGTCTACATGAAAGCTGAAATTTCCAGCTGTGGTTAACTGGGAGTCTTTTGAGAAAGACGCAGGCAGGTCAGAGAGTGTGGAAGTGTAGAACCCCTGGACTCTTAAGATACGAGACATTCACTTTCAGTATCTGCAAAACTGGGGCTCCTGTGTTTTCCAAGGAATATGTGCATGTAAGCATTCTTTGAAAAAAGGGAAACTGGCTTATTCTTAGTGAGTATTCTTAAACTGTGAGTTTCCTGCAAAGAATAAACTTTTTAAACTCATGACTAGTATTTTAAGTCGAGAAATAGCATCAACCAAAGCTGAAAGTTTAAGCAGATTGGCTCTGATTTCTGTGCCAAGAGTGTACTTGTTTCTGATTCAGAAGAGAATTCTTCAAAGATGGTCGTCTTGATTTTTTAAGTCAAATGTGTTTTGTGGGCTGTGTAAACCATACCATGAATTTTGCTCTTAACCTACTTGAAAAGAGATGGCTTCTCATTCAAACAGGGAGGTGTACAGGGCTTCTCTAGAGAAGTGTAGCTGACAGGTAGAGTGCTTGCAAGTGCAAGGCCCTAAGTTTGACCCCCAGCACAAAAAAAAAAAAAAGGTCCTTTTTGTACTGCTGCTGTGTAATTGTCTTTTACCTAAACCATTATTCTTCCTGCTTTGCATCTTTTCTTTTTTCAGCCTTGAAGAACAAGGTAACTTATGTTTGAGATTAAACAATAAGGTTGTAAATTACTAAATTTGAACTTGGACTTATTTATTTATTTATCTATCTATCTATCTATCTATCTGTCATCCTGGGGTTTGAACTCAAGGCCTTCATCTTGAGCCACTCCACCAGCCTTTTTTTGTGATGGGTTTTTTGCCAAGTTAGAGTCTCCTGACTATTTGCCTGGCCTGGCTTCAAACCCCAATTCTCCTGTTCTCTGCCTCCTGAGTAGCTAGAATTACAGGTGTGAGCCACCAGCGCCTGCCTGGATTATTTCAAAATATTTTATGAACTACTTCCCCTGTAATGTACTTAGCTAATTGCTAGTCCGGGCAAACGTAGAAACACTTTACAGAGGATGTTTGCCTTCAAATCCGTATTGCTGGCGTGATTTCTTTTGGTGGGGTTCTGATTTCTTATGATTGTGTTACACAGAAATCCTTAAGAACAGACTACTAATAAAAAAAATGAAAAAAGAGGGACCAGACTATATAAAAAACATGCTTTTTACCTGACATGATGGCACACACCTGGGATCCCAGCTCAGGCGGCTAAGGGAGAAGGATTAGGAGTTCTAGGCCAAGCCGAGCAGCTGTGGCTCACACCTCTAATCCTAGCTACTCAAGAGGCAGAGATCAGGAGGATCAAGTTTGGAAGCCAGCCCGGGGAAGTAGTTCAGGAGACCCTATCTCAAAAAACCCTTCACAGAAAAGGACTGGTGGAGTGGCTCACGGTGACAGCCCTGAGTTCAAGCCATAGTACCACCAAAAAAAAAAAAAAAAGATCACATTTATATTTTTTCCTTTTTTGACAGATCAGCTTTGAAACTTAAAAATAATGGAGAAGACTCAAGAAAAAGTCCAAAGAATCCTTCTAGAACCTTATCAGTACTTACTGCAATTACCAGGTAACAGATAACTTATTAACTAGTTATTCTTGCTCATCTAAGACTAGAATGATGACAGTGATACAGGAATCTCTGAAATTAGTGAAGAATGATTTCTGTTTGTTTGGTTGTTTGTCCCAGGATAAGGTTCCAGACATTTTTTACTGGAAGGTAGGGGGTAAGGTTGGGAGTGGAGCAAGAAGAGCAACAGAAAATCAATAGTGAAGGAGTAACTTTTTTTTAATTTTGAAGGATTGTATGGTTAGCCTCAGTGTTAGAAATAAATTGGAAACTTTGAAAACCCTAGAATATGATCAGAGGGAAAAAAATATTAAAACTTCTGGGGTTGGGGATACAGCTCAATACCTACCATGCATGAGACCCTAAGTCCAATTCCCAGTACCCCCGCCCAAGAAAAAAAAAGAAAAAGAAAAATTACTTCAGTACTTGAAAAGTAGCTGTTCAGAAGTGAAATGAAAAATGCAACTCCACGTGAACTGTTTTTCATCTTCAAAACTTATTTTAAGTGATTACTTTAAATTTTTATTTTAAAATGTGATTACTCAGCCGGGCACCACTGGCCCACGACTGTAATCCTAGCTACTCAGGAGGCAGAGGCCAGCCTGGGCAAAATAGTTCAAGAGAACCTATCTTGAAAAAACCCATCATAAAGATAGGGCTGGTGGAGTGGCTCAAGGTGAAGACCCTGAGTTCAAGCCCCAGTACCACAAAAACAATAATAAAATGTGTTTACTTTACAAGGTTGTGCATTATAAGTATAGCCCAAGCTGACCTTTGTGGGGAAGTAGGTAAGAAATATGAACTGTGTAATTACCACCCAGACCATATACACCTGAGGAGTGAATAAGCAGAAGGTGCTGCTTCTAGAACCCTAAGACATGTCTTCTGTTTCTACACATCTGACAGCCAGTAAATCTTTGTCCCTTGTAGATGTGAGATGTAAGTTGTGTGTATATTCATTTGTTTGAGTGACTAGTGCAGAGAAAACATAGAACTTAGGAAATAGTGTTTTGGGGCTCAGAGATGTCCCTCCCTGAGGTAACAAGTGGTAGACAGGGCCTGAATTAGATACCCCACACTGCAAAAAAAAAAAAAAGTTTTTCATCACCAAAAAATTACCTTTTGTTTATTTTTTGGCAGCATTGGGGTTTGAACTCAAGGCCTCATAGTTGTTAGACAGGCATTCTTACTGCTTGAGCCACCCTGCCAGCTCTTTCTTTTTGTGATTGGTTTTTTTGAGATAGGGTCTTGAGAACTACTTGCCGGGGTCTGGCTTTAAACTGAGATCCTCCTGATGTCTGAGAAGCTAGGATTGCAGACATAAGCCATCTGCCGGCTGAAAATGAACTTTTGATGTAACCGTTGTCCTGAACCCTAATCTGAATTTAGTATATTATCATACATGCTTTAGCCTGAAGCTCATAGAATACTTTAGTAAGCGGTTGTAGTTTTTATCTCCCATTCTTTTATGTTTGGGATAAAAATGACTTCTAATGGTAACTATTCAAAACACTTCTCTTGAGTTTTCCATGTTCAAAAAGATAATGTTGAAAAATTTGCTGGCCCCAGACAAAACAAAGCGATTGTCTTTTTGTTTTTGCAGTTCTGGGGCTTGAACTCAGGGCCTTCACCTGGAGCCACTCCATCAGCCCTATTTTTGTGATAGGTTTTTTCGAGATAGGTTCTCTTGAACTATTTGCCTGGGCTGGCTTTGAACCACTATCCTCCTGATTTCTGCCTTCTGAGTAGCTAGGATTACAGGTGTGAGCACTGGTGCCTGGCAAGAGATTGTCTTTTGATTAAACTTAGGATATCACAGTAATCTTACTTTTGATTGGAAAGAAGCAGAACTGCCAGTTTCTAAAACCTTAACAATAAAGGAGTGGCTGATAACTTTATGAAGTAGTTCAGTAGTGTAAAGTACATTTCATTAAAAATGTAAAATAGATCATGCTAATTAATGACCTGTAAATATACTGGCTTCCTTTTCAGAAAAAAGGCATAAATTTTCTAAATTTATTTAGACCATATTTTCTAAAAAATGCTCATTCCATTCCAAAATTGTTGATAACAGTTAAGATTAAGGCTCAAGTGGTAGCATGCTGCCTAGCAATCACAAGACCCTTGAGTTCAACTCCCAGTGCCACCAAAAGGAAAAGATACAGTAATAGTGTTTTATTGTCAGGTTTTATTTTTTAATTGCAGGTAAACAAGTGAGAACCAAACTTTCACAGGCATTTAATCATTGGCTGAAAGTTCCAGAAGACAAATTACAGGTATTTAGTCTATTCTTTTCGTGTGTGTGTGCGCGCGTGCGTGCGTGTGTTCGTTCGTTCCTGGGGATTGAACTCAGGGTCTCATGCGTTTGAGGCAAACACTAAACCACCGGGCTATATCAGCCCTATTTAGGCAATTCTCATCTCATTCTGAATCTCCAGTAAATGAATAAATGTCACATAAATACACTTCTAGCTCCTTGTTCAGTTTAACATTCATGCAATGTATTCTTTTGTATTGAAGTAAATAATTATTAGTTGTAAAAACTTAAGACACCTGAGACTTTCATAGCTGTTAAAATCATTAAACTGTTTTAAATCATTCAAATAAAGTGAAACTCTGCTTTTTTTTTTTTTGAGATTATCATTGAAGCAACAGAAATGTTGCACAATGCCAGCTTGCTCATTGATGATATTGAAGACAATTCAAAACTCCGACGTGGCTTTCCAGTGGCACACAGCATCTACGGGACCCCGTGTGTCATCAATTGCGCTAATTATGTGTATTTCCTTGGCTTAGAGAAAGTCTTAACCCTCGATCACCCAGAGGCGGTGAAGCTTTTTACACGCCAACTTTTGGAGCTCCATCAAGGACAAGGCCTAGATATTTACTGGAGGGATAACTACATTTGTCCCACAGAGGAAGAGTATAGGGCTATGGTGCTGCAGAAGACAGGTGGACTGTTTGGATTAGCAGTAGGTCTCATGCAGTTGTTCTCTGATTACAAAGAAGACTTAAAGCCACTGCTTGACACACTTGGGCTCTTTTTCCAAATTAGAGATGACTATGCTAACCTACAGTCCAAAGAATATAGTGAAAACAAAAGTTTTTGTGAAGACCTAACAGAGGGGAAGTTCTCGTTCCCCACTATTCATGCCATTTGGTCAAAGCCCGAAAGCACCCAGGTGCAAAGCATCTTGCGTCAGAGAACGGAGAACATAGATATTAAAAAGTACTGTGTCCATTATCTTGAGGATGTAGGTTCTTTTGAATATACTCGGAATATTCTTAAAGAACTTGAGTCTAAAGCCTATAAACAAATTGAGGCATGTGGTGGGAACCCTGAGCTAGAGAGTTTAGTAAAACACTTAAGTGAGTTATTCAAAGAGGAAAATGAATCACTTTAGGCCATTCTTGATTGAGCCTGATAGTGTCCTACAATTTTTTTAGTTGTTTTTTGTTTGGTTGGTTTTGGTTTTTGGTCTTTGGTTTTTTTTGTCTTTCAGTCTATCACCTGTCCACAAATTTAGATCAGGCTGTTAGTCTCCAAAAACTGAGTAAATAGGGGTAAAAATAATGAAATTGTTTCAATGTAGAACTCTCTCCGGGCATAGAATACAAAGTTGAAAGTACAAAAAAGCCACATTTGTATAGGTCAAATTGAATGTCAGAAACTTGTGGCAGGACATTGTGACCAATTCTGCCCTGCTGCCACAAATGTGCTATTGCTTGCTTTTGTCAATTAAAAAAAGACAGCTTCCAGAAATTTTTATTTGGGTACTTTTAACTGTACTATGTGAGCAGTTCCCAGTTCATCCACCCTAGTTTCAAAACATTGACTTATTTGGGACCAGTTTCTTTAGCTGACTGGCCTCAATGACCACAAAACTTTTTTTTCCTAAATGCTTCTGCTGGTAATGGCCCAGTGTCGTCCTTGGAGATCCCTTTACTAAAGTCTGAAAAGGCTGAGTAAAAGCAGCACTCTGGGCCTTTCTCTTACCCTCTTCCTTTTTTTCCTTGCTCTCCACCCCACAAATTCTGCTTTTTAACCAAGAAGTCTCCACTTAATGAAATTCACTGCAGTCCGAATATATTTCTTCCCCTGATAACATTTCTGTGCTCCCAACTGATTAGCATCTGGGTATGTCATTGTCTTTCCATTTGGAAAAGAAGAAAACATACCAAGTTTTTAGGAGGGAAACTCTGAGCCTTGATTTCCCCATCACTGGTTAAGTGAAGGTTTTTAAAGGGCTGTTTGCTTAGGTCCAGTACAAAAGCAGGGGACATGCACTTTCCCTTCCTGTCTACACCACTGCCCCCTTGGAGGCCGTGTATGCCTTCTGAACTGAAAAGAAAAAGGAATCTTCAGTCACTAATTAAAAAAAACCACAGCATTAACGGAGAGCATACCAGACTGAAAAGAAGTCAAAGACTACCATCCAGTGCTAATTAGCTTTTTAGTGCCTTAACCATGTCCCAGCTGTCTCTTTAATTTCTAAACCCCAGACCCTTGTACCATGGGCCCAAGGTAGGGGACAAAGGAAAAAAAATAGACCGATTCCTGTGTTAGAAGTGTTGACATCCCAAAAAGAAAGTACTGTTTCCCTTAGGAACATTGTTGTGCTTGATTGGTTCTGTGGTGTGCTATATAGGATCTAATCACCATATATGTGGATGAGAAATTCTTACCCAAGCATTTGATCTAAATCTTGAAAAGTTAGGTGTTGTCTTTCCTAACTTTTAAAATAACTGAATCTTCCATTTTAATAGCAATAAGGAAATCACATAAAATCATGGGTATTTGTGCTAAAGTGTGGAAATTTGAATTTCATATTTATAAACTCTTACTTTTTTTTTTCATTTTGGTACCAGGGCTTAAACTTAGCCCCTCACACTTGCTCTACCATTTGAGCCACTCCACCAGCCCTGTTTTGTGTTGGGTATTTTCTGAGATAGGGTCTTGAGAACTATTTGCCTGGGCTGGCTTTGAACCATGATCCTCTTGAGTAGCTAGGATTAGAGATGTAAGCTACTGGCACCCAGCAAACTCTTAGGTTTTTTTTTAAAGCATGATTGATTTTTAAAATGTAATGCTGGCTATGTAGGCAGAAATTGAAGTATTTATGTATAAATAATGCTTAAATAGTTTTTTTGTCTAATTAAATTAATTTTGACCTGGTGCTAATTTATGATTCTTTTGTCATTTTTATTTCACCTTTGTCAAGGACAGAAATACCTGGCAGTAAATTGGGAACTTTTAAGAAAATCATTTTATCTGTGTAATAATCAAAATTCCATTGCCCCCACTTGATCTATAGTCACCACTGTTAATACAGAAGAAAGCCAGAATATAATGGATACTTTAAGTCCAATAAAATAATTTTCCTCCTTGCTCAAGTTTATGCTATAGTAATTTTTTTCCTACATAAGGGAAGATCTTGTGATAACCCAAGTAGGAATTGGATTATACCATTTCAAAGACATACAATTTTAAAACGTTTTAAATTATTTTCGAGTTTATGCAGCTTCAAAAGAATTGATTTTATCTACCAAGTCCGACAGATTGAGGGCCAATTATCTTGCAATAAATCAGTTTCTTAGCATGATCGTGTTTTGCATTTTGAATGGGGTCTCACTTTGTTGACCAGGCTAGCCCTGAACTCAATCCTCCCTCGTGCCTCCTTACGTGGAGTAGCTGGGATTACCTGCCTGCACCCAGCTTCAGAAAGATTGTAAATCCATCTGCTCTTCTCTGTAACCATGCTGACATCCTCTTCCTCCTTCACTTCCTTTCCCATTGCCTATAGTCGTTCACTTTAGGGAATTTTTAGATCACTTGCCTACTTGCCTCAGCCCCTCATCCTGCCAGTTCCCCAGTCCTGAGTGAATCTCAGTCTCTCCTGTGCTGCTCAATGCCACAGGAATATTCTAGAACTGCTGTTGGAGCCATTGCTATTCTTGCAACCTCGGTAACCCTTTATTTTGCATCTAGTCTTCCTTTCCTAGAGGAGATTTCAAATTTATTAACCTGACATCCAGAGTCTCCTTTTCCACTTTTCTCCCATCAGATACATAAACTAACTTTCCTCCTCTCTACTTTAAGTCGGCTGCCTTTTATTTCAGAAGTTGTCTGCCCTGTCCTTGATTCCTATGTTTTGGCAGCCTTGTTCCATTCCATTCTACAGCCTCGGGATTTACCTGTTGGCTCACTTTAGTCATCGTCCTGGGGGAAGGGAAAGGAGAAAGACAAGCATTCCCTGAGCGGTCAGGATCTTGAATGCAAGTCAAAGCATTTGGCTTTCCTGTACGTGCTGCTTCCCATTCTTATGCCCTCGTAGAGGCTTTTAAACCTTGGGCGAATGCTGGTTTCTTGTAAGTTTCTTTCCTATGATGTCTCCCCACTCGATCTGTCCTCACTATTATGCCATAATAGCCAATATTCGATGTTTGAAATACTGAAAAAGTTTCGAAATAATGGGCCATACAATACTGTAAATCCAGTTAAAATGCAGTTGCCATTTGTCTCCCTCTCCATGATGAACTCATCTCGCTCATCCTTTATGTTGCTGCATATGTTACACGGTAGATAGTGTTAACAGTTTTACTGTGCACTGGTTGGGCATGATGGCTCATACCTATAATCCAAGCTACTCTGGAGATACTTAGAAGGACCATAGCTGTGAGCCCAGCCAGGCAAAGGTGGCAAGACCCAGTCTCAAAAAACAAAAAAGGCTGGAGGTGTAGCTCAAGTGGTAGAGCACTTGCCTAGTATTCACAGGATCCTGAGTTCAATCCCTAGTACCACAAAAAAAAGTGTAATAAGCAACATTAGCAATACAAATTTCAGTATTAGCACATTAGTTCAAATGTTTCATGACCATTGAGTAAAGAGCATTCAGTCACAGATCTGAGTAATGCATGTCTTTTCATGCACATTCTTCATAAAACACTCTTGGGGAATAACCAACATCTTCGAATTTCACTGTAAATAAAGAAAAATACATAAGCCAGGTGCTGGTGGCTCATGCCTATAATCCTAGCTACCCGGGAGATAGAGATCAGGAGGATCAAGGTTCAAAGCCAACCTGGGAAAACAGTTCATGAGACCCTATCTTGAAAATACCCATCACAAAAAAAGGCTAGTGGAGTGACTCAAGCTGTAGGCCCTGAATTCAAGCCTCAGTACTCTCAGCTCTGGCCACCAGGAGGAAGTTCCAAAAGTTAATACTAGGCCCCCAAACTCTAACAATACGAAACAAATAAGGAGAGAGTGGGGCATGAGATGAGAGACAGGAGGCAAGACAAATTTTTGGCCATTCTTCTGAGTAGCCATGATCCCTCCAAGTCACTTGAGAAGTACTTCCTCAAAGGTTCCAAATAAAGTGGTTTGCTTTAACTACTGTCTGAGCATTAGCGCAAAAACTGTCTTTGAGGATGACAGCCACCAAAGATGTCCTGTCACATATGAAAGCAAAAGAGGCTCTGGGAATGGATTGCCCTCAGTTCTGAAAACAGGTAGGATCAGGCCTGGAAGGGCAACAGTTGGCCATGTCTGACTAAAGCTTCCAAGAGCTCTCTGTGGCTCCCTCCAGAACAACTTACATCAGAGGACGACTCGACCTGTCTTGTAAGCCTACCTAATTCCTTATCAATATTGGGGGACCCCTTTCCAGTTTTATCCTGTCATCCTGGACCCTAACAGAGTCTACCCTGTTACAGGGGTTGAGGGAAGGGGTCAAAGTGTAGATTCACTGCTCCCCTCTCTTGTTCTCTTGTGCTTCTCCTACATGTAAAGATTTGGGGTCTTTTTCTGTGTTTTCTCTCCCTTCCGCCTTCTTGCCTGCGCTAAGATAGTTTTGCTGTCCAAGGTCGTTTGGGACTTTTGTTATCTTAGTCAACCCTAGTTGGAATGTAACATTCTGTAACTCTTTTGTAAAACCAAGGAGAAAATATATAAAAGAACTCTTTTTAAATCTAGACAGCAGAAATTCTGCAACTCTGCAGTGATGTGTGGACCCATGATCTTAGTTTGTTCATTCTGTCATGCATATAGTTTGAGCTAAAAATAAAAGGTAAAAAGGAACCAGTAAATAGGAGATGTAAAAGAGATTATAAAGTAATCATTTTTAAATACAAAGAACTTTTGTGTGTTAATAAGGTTTTGTTCTAAAAGCAAAGGATTGTTCCCAAAAGAAATAGGTAAGCCAGGCACCTGTGGCTCACGCCTGTAATCCTAGCTGCTTAGGAGGCAGAGATCAGGAGGATAGCGTTTTGAAGCCAGCCCCAGGCAAATAGTTTTCAAGATCCTATCTCAGAAAAAAAAAAAAAAAATCACAAAAAAGGGTTGGTGGAGTGGCTCAAGTGGTAAGAGAGGCTGCCTAGCAAGCATGAGGCCCTGAGATCAAACCCCGGTATCACCAAGAAAAAAAAAAAAAAAAAAAAGGAGGGTTTTGTGCTGAGATGCAATTGATGGACCATGGTGAGGGATGAGGAGGCACAAGAAAGTAAGACAGGTTTTTGTCCTAAAAACAAAGGATTGTTCCAAAATGGAAACAAGCAGGTAAAGGCATGCTGCAGAAAGAGTGAGGTAGGATTTATGATGGGATAAAACTGATTGGAAGAAAAAAAATAGGCCTTGGTTATTCTTGTTCTCTCTGGAGACTACCCACTTTCAGTCTACTTCTTAATAAACTTTGCTATCACTTTCATTCCAAAAAACAAAAAGGTATACCTCCCATTCTATTTGAGAAAATTTAAATATTCTGGGGGAAACACCTCACCTCTTAGAATTAACCCAAGAAGGTTTATGCTGCTATTCAGTCTTTGCCACCACAGCTGAGACAGCTGGCAATCACTTTCAACAGAGAACAAGTGCTTATGACAGTAGGGAGAGGAGTCACCCTTCTCCTTTCCTCCATCTGGAAGAGGAAACGAGTTGCTGACTTACAACCCAGGATTGGACTCCCTAAAATAACTCTTGAAGGGTTTAACTAATAAAAGTTGTTATAATTCAGGGTAAGTTATTATTTAAGGTTATTCTAAAACGGGAAAATATCCTTTTTATTATTTTAAAATGCTTCAAGTTGTTATGGGAAACACATTGTATTTCTATCTTTATTTTACTTATCCATGGGGCATTGCTATACCCAGTGTTGAGAGCTTCTAAAGTCAGGCCAGTAATGATGGTCTCAGAGCTGGCTAATCCGTCCAAACAGTGCACACAAGATCACCAGAGAGCTCTAATAACCTACATTTTGGAAAATAATTTTTTTTTCGGTACGAGGGCTTGAACTCAGGGCCTACACCTTGAGTCACTTTACCAGCCCTTTTTTTGTGATAGGTTTTTTTTTGAGATAGGGTCTTTCGAACTATTTGCTCAGGCTGGCTTCAAACCGAGATCCTCCTGATCTCTGCCTCCTGAGTAGCTGGGATTACAGGCGTGAGTCACCAGGGCCTGGCTGGAAAATAATTTTTTTTCTTTATTCTTAAGTGACTTTATTTCAGAACTTTGATTCAAATACATTTTTTTAAAAAATTTTATTATTCATTTATTCACATGTGCATACATTGTTTGGGTTATTTCTCCCCCTTGCCCCCCTTCCCTCCCCCACCTTTTCCCCTGCAACCTCCCTCACTTCCAGGCAGAACCTGTTCTGCCCTTATCTCTAATTTTGTTGAAGAGAGAAGACATAAGCATAATAAGGAAGACAAAGCGTTTTTGCTGGTTGAGATAAGGATAGCTATGCAGAGAGATTCCTAGCTTTTTCTTCCATGTACAAATGTGTTACAACCCAAGTTCATTCATCTCTAACTGATCGTTATGCTGGTTCCTGATCTCCTTCTCATGTTGACCACTGTTGATTTAAGGTTTCTGTATTAGCTCCTTTGGAGTGGGGACATCAAACGCTTTCATGTTTTGGGTTTTCTACCTATTTCTATA